TGCATCGAGGCAAACGCACATGAGCAGCATCCAGGCAATTATTGTTAAGGTAGGAGGAAAATCTGATAAACTTAAATTATCACTTCCATCAGGCCAGAGATTCCATTTGGCCCATGTGCTGTTAATTGCTTTTACATTAAATTCTAAATACTGATAGAGAGATAACTCAATAAACCTCTCAAACTCCACAGGAAGCCGTTGTTGAGACTTTGCTTTACCGCTCCTGCTTTTTCCTTCACAGTCTCAATCTCATCATTACTGTGTCTCTGCATAATCACACTCTAAAGGAGAATAATTAATCTACTTGCACCCCTTCAATTACATGGATGCAGGATATAAGCACAGACAAAAACAATGCCACGAAACTCATTTGTGTTTTGAAAGATAATTAAAAGACAGAAGTGGTTAGAAATGTTAAGATGTACAGATAATCTGATGGGGTTTGGGGTTCAGGGGTAAATATCAAAGCAGCTTCCCAGGAGTCCTATGGAGAATTACTCATTCCTGCATACGTTCATGAAATTGGCAGTGACCTCAATAGATGTTCTAGTGCCACAGCTTCTCATTAGAGATCCCATTAGAAATTGGCTCTGGTTGTTCTGTGATGGATGAGAAGCTTGTGATGCCTATGCTGACAAATGGTCATCATCATCTGCTCCTCTCCATAGATGCTCACAAATCATGCTTTACTGTCAATGTAGAATCTGACGGTTAGATACTGGTCAACACCCCAAATTCATTGAGCCATATTAGACAGTTTCCATTTGGAAATTCTTGACCTAGTGAAGCAAACAAGAAAGAATTTGTACAAGTAACAAGGATTGTTAGTGTAGCTAAAACTTGGTACAGCTTATACCTCTGTGCTGTGAAAACCACTTAAACCTGAGTGCACAGATCGCTAAATATCTAAGAATAATTCTCTGTGAAAATGCTGAAAATATTGAAGAAACACTAAAATCCCTGAACTGAATCTGCACCAAGATTTTCCACCAAATTTCATATTTTTCCGTCAAGTACTTTTGTTTACGATCAAACTAACCAACACAAGGTCAGGGGTGAAAACATAACCTCCTGGGTAGACGTAAGAAGCCACAATGTTGGAGTCGGTGCAATGTTCCTTTACTACCATCAACATGGGCACTGTAATTATTTTTGAATCACTCCCACATTGAACATCCCACTGTGAGCACCAAATGTGTATTAATCCTCGGCTGAAAATAGTCCTCAACAAAAACACAATTTACTTGAGTTTGACTGATTCTTGATGAAAGCTATAGATTATTTTTGAAGCCACTTACATGAAAGTGTGTATTCATGATCTACTTTTTAAAATGTACATCTTTAAGAGACTTGTGGTCTTATGGCTGAGAACCTCACACAGGCTGGGAAAGCCAAAGTGAGGCACATACCAACAGACTGGTGTTAGAAAGATTCAGAAAAACACCAGACTTATCCTCTAAATATACTGTTGATCCAAAATATCTATTTTCATAACTTAACTTTTCTCCTCTGTGCTGTCTTTCCCACAAGCTAAGTGTTGCCGTCTGCATCGGCTTCTTTGCGGCATGGAGTCCATATGCCGTGGTGTCCATGTGGGCTGCATTTGGACAAATCGAGAACATCTCTCCTCTGGCATTTGCCATGCCAGCAATGTTTGCCAAGTCCTCCACCATCTACAACCCCATCATCTACCTGACGCTGAGGCCAAACTTCCGCAGGATGATGCACAGGGACGTGGGTACTCTGTGCCATGCCTGTCTGAGAAGCTGCCTCTGCTCCCAGGGCCTTGTAAAGGGCTGCCCTAAGCCTGAGATCAGGGTAAGACTTCGCACAATTCACAGACAGAACAACCAATTTCCCTCGTCTGACTCGGCTGCTCAACCTCCTCTGGTCCACCATTGTGAGAATTGCAAGGATGCTTTCGAGTGCTTTAAACGCTACCCTCAAATGTGTGGTGTCACTAACCCGGCTGCCAATGGAGACTCATCCAAGGATCACGACAAGCCAGTTCTCCAAACACATGAGCAGACGACTCAAAGTGTGTGTCACAAGAAGTCTCTGCTGGCCACCATGTGTGCAAAAAGGACTTCAGAGATGGACAAGCTCCAAATTAATTTAGAGATGGTGCCAGGGCATGCAAAAGTGGCTTGGCCCTGACGTTTCTCTCAATTTACAATGTTTACGGAAGATTTACAGGTTATTTTCATTTCAGGAAATCTTGTGCAGGAATGTGCCATAAGCTCCCAATGTGTCTGGGCAGCAGCCATGTAACTTATTGTGTTTCCTGCTATGTATTTATTGCTATGGAGACATTGCAGCTTTAAGTTAAAAGGTATTTTGTCTGCAACCTCGTCCGCAGCTCACAATCGTTTTGGGTTTGTTAGAGTTGAGAAGTAATATCAACAGGATCTAAATCTCTGCTTTGATAAATATTCTATATAATATTACAATATGTTCTGTTTCCAACATTCCTGGTATCCTCCATCTGGAGATCCTGTACTTCTGTTTTACATTTAGTTTTAATGGCGTCATCCTCTGTTAAATTGCAGTTTACATAGACATGGTGAACTTAAAGTTTGCCTTTCACATATGAAAAACGCAGCAGCAGATTTTCAGAGTCAGACGCATTCACAACTACAGGAAAATGTCTGGAACATTCAGGCGAGGGGTAGTGTCTGGATATAGGAGGACATCATGTATAATTATCCAAATCTCCTCTTTTCTAAGATATTTGTATTCTTTTCACAATCCATGTCTGGAGCAACTGGCTCTGCCATTTGTGTTCTCACATACTGCCTCTCCGGAGAATTTCAGTAGAATGTCCAGAGTTCAGTGGTATTGTCAAACTAAATCTGACATTTTGCTCTCTAACATACTTTTTGCTGTGAAAATACTTGTGGACAGGTCACTGCCAACATCATCTCAGTAAAACCTCACTTCAACTCCAGGGAATCACTGATCCTGATACCAAACAGTTTGCTGGGCATAGTATTTTGGGTTTCGCTTTGTTGAGAAGGGTACAACATACATTTGGTGGAGTACTGAGAGCGCTCTCAGTTCAGAAGCTGGTAACACTACCTTTCCTGTGCCAGCACAGTATTGTTTACACTTGACAAATGCAGGTATATGGTTTCTGGTGCTTGATCAATTATCTATGTACACAACACAACACTGCTGCAGAACACCATTATTATGGCAATATTATACAATATTATGTAATCTATCTACTTGTAGTATTTGAACTTCATGTCATTATTTATAGTTTGTACGAGAAAAAACGGATTTTCTTACATTAACTAACTAATTAACTAATGAAGAAAAACCAACGTAACCTTAAATTATGCAGCTGTAGATAAATTCATTCATCTGTGGAAAAAGTCTAGTTGTGGTTTGTGATTGTTTTGACAACATCCCAGCTATTTGTATTTCATTTGCATCTGCGGATCCCCCGGGCATATATCCTTTTCATTTAATCAAATTAAAATATCGGTGTTTTACCTATTTTAAATGAGCCATTTCTGTTTTATGTCTTGTGTTACAAAGCGTACTGCTGCTGCTGAACGGAAGCAGTTAATTTGATGTTATCTATCCGTCCACAGGGTGCCATTTTAACAGCATCCTTAAATGGAACAACCTGCTCACGTTTGGATCCCTGAACTTTATCTTTGATGGCACCAAGGGATTTATTTTCTTGGGTTTGGTGAAGAGATTAACAAACTCTCCTGGTTTAAAAAAAATGGCCCTTTGATTTCTAAAGACATATAATCACATCTGTAATCCATTACAATATGATTTTAAAAAGTTAACTACAGTTCAACAGTTTGAGTACACAGGGTACATTTTTTTTAAATTTGCATTCTAAACTAAGTAGGTGTTTAGAATCACATGTATTTTACTGGCTGTTAACCAACTCAATCTTGTGGTCAATGTGCAGTGGAGTTATGAAATAGTCTGATATAGCTCATAAATATTCTACTAATTTAGCTGATGACTTAAAAGTGACAGCTCTGTAACCATTTCTATGAATTCAAAAACACAGCATATTAATATCCAGCAACTAATTTGCAAAAGATTACCAACATGATTGAGGGGAAATGCTCAACTTTGAATAATATTCAGCATCAAGCAATTAGGTTTAGTTTAAAATATAAGATACATGAAATGCACATTTGAAGTTTAGGAACATATGCAGTTCATTTAAAATGTTTTTCCAGTGGATCCAGATTTGGTTAAGTCTGTGAAGATATGGATGGGAAAATAGTGTTTATTGTTTTGTCTAGTGTTGTGTAGCGAGCTACATCAACACTGAGGACCAGTACAAATAAAGGCACTGAATTTTATAAAGAAAGGACAAGACGTGATCACAAATCCATTACAAAATGAATGGTTGGTGAGGGAAGTATCTCGTAATCCCAAAATACTTGGCACCATACAGTGTAGCAACTCACTAAAACAAGCAGCTAACAAGTACTTCATGCATACTTTAATCTGACTGACATCTGGGGAAATACATTCATGGCAGCACATAATCTACAGCAGGACTGCCCCCTACTGTAGGCAAGGATTACAACAATAATACACATGGATAACTGGAACACTGCACTGAGAAATCTTTTTCATTTTGTACAATTTGCATTTGTTTATTCAATATTCAGTGATTCAATCAATAGCTGGAAAAAGATTATTACACTGATTATCCCTGGATATGGATTCAATGTTCTATTAAAGCAACAGGAATTGTTTATTCCAGAACACTGTTGCATAGTTTCTGAAAATAAAAAAAATACTTGACAGTATTTATAGTAAAGATTCTTGCTTTGGTTTAATACACGCATGTGACTGGCATTCCAATAAGAAAAACAAGATATTTTTAATTACAAAATGAACACTGATTTTGAAATTCCATGATTAGAAAAGTGATGCCCGGTGTTGATCTCTTAAAGACGAAGCATGGTAGGAAAAGTTTGATGGCGATATGAAAAGAAAACATGAGCTTTTTAAATGCAACAATAATCAGGTCCAAACAACATTTCATCAAAGCGAGTGACTACTGTACAGTGGTCATTCATTTTAAGAGAATTTCAGTGAGCTCTGTGGTTGTCGGAATAGCTCAAAAACCTTGGTGCATAAAACCAAAAGACTTTTTTTGTTTTTTAGAAAGTCACTTTGAAGGCATGTGGAAAATCTAACAGGTGAAAACAGAAGTTTATGAGATTGGGGAAGACAAACTGCAGATGTCCAGCATTTTCTGCATGACATCCAGCGTTATGTTTCCTGACAGAGCCTGACAAAGCTTCCCAAATGTGCAGCCGATACTTCCCTCCTTCATTTTCCAGCGCTCCAGCATTTGGTGCACAATCTCTGGCAGGCCGTCGCGGGAATAGTCGTGCTCTATGGTCTCTATTTCCACACTGGTCAAACCAAGGTGGCGCGCGTAAAGCTTCCATTTGGATCCAATGTTGCCCCGCAGCAGATCCAGGTGCTCCTCAGTCACAGCATAGTTCTCTAAGTAACAGTAAAACAAATCTGTAACTAGTGATACTACAACAAAATACACAAAATTATTTCAAGCACAAGTTGAAACTAGAAAATACTGTTGTAAACTGGATGAAAAACATTATCTGCACTGCTTCGCTGACCTGCCTCCAAAATTGCACACTGTATTATTAGCCTATCCTGCTTCAATAACAATAACAGCCAGAGCAACAATTAGCAGATAAAAATAATAATAATGATTAATAAATGAGTTGATAATTGCATACCAAACATTAATTTCAGCTTCTTGAATGTGAGGATTTATGCCCTTTTTAAAAAATTATAATGCAAATGTTTTTTTTGAAAATATTAATGACAATTTTTGTCATTTTAGAAAAATAAAATATTGAAATTACCTGTAAACCTGTATTCTAAATAATCACAACAACCATCCAAAGGATGAACATGTGTTTGTTTGCAAACAGGAAACACATCGATCACATCTGCTTTATGAAAAACATGCCATACTTTACCGTATTTCTGAATGCTTTCTTTGATGAGAGAGATGGTCGAGCTTCTAGGAGATGCAGATAATGAACTATTGGTTAGCTCATAATCTCTGATCATCAACACGTTGCTGTTTCCAATCTGAATCCCTCTGGCATTATGAATGAAAATAGACCCTAGAACGAGCACAAAGCAAACACACTTCAACTGTCAAAGGGGGCAGAAGCAGCTGTGAACATGTGAGAAGAGGAAACACCTCATTTTGTACCTGGCTCTTGTGGCAGGAGACGCCCCGGAGCAATGTCCGGAGCAGATGTTTCATTCACTGGGTAAACGGGCCAAGACTCCTGACGGTTAAAGTTGGAATGTGGCTGTTGCTGGTTGTACTGATCTGGTGAGGGAGCGCTGGTGGACATTGGCAATAGGGTTGCAGCAGATTCAGTTGAGTTCATGGACTCGTAGAGACCAGATGTGGGGCGGCACCACATGTCCTGGCTGGTGCTCTGCACTGGCTCAGCTTTAGTCCAGGAATGGACAGAGGACACAGGCTGCTTGTCTTGTTCTGGTTGCATTGCAGTGTGATCTGAAGTGCTGTTGTGGTATGGCAGGAAGGGATTGGAGTTGGTGCGTTGGAAGCAGTTCATAGGGTCTGTCTGGTTTTCATAGTTATAGCTTCCATGTTTGTGGTACAGAAACTCCCGATGAAGTTTCTCACCCAACGCTGAAGTGTTGTTATTTCCCCTGGCGTCGGTCTGAATAGACTCCTCGTGCTGAATGACATGCAGGTCTTCAATACTGGCTTCAACTGGCACAGGTACACTTCTGTCTGAACTCACCAAAGGAGCAGGGCAGTCTGTCAAGTGAGGAGAGAAGTAAACTGATAAAGATGCAGAAGCTTTTCTCAACATCTAGAACATTAAATGTAACACAGTAGGTCAGGGGGGAAATTATATTTAAGTCATCATAATTACCAACAGGGCTCACCTGCAGAAAAACATTCATTGGTCTCTGATAAATATTTCATCTTCTCAACAAGATCATCTGGGCCTTCGTATAAATTCTGCATGAAGAAAATCACATGGAGAATCGTGATATAAAATAAATAGTATGGCGTGTATTTCCAGTTTGAATTCAGTTTATTTTATTTAATGTGCATTTAAGAAAAGATTACCCCATCAAATCCTAGATTTACATATATTTACCTTCAGAAGAAGTAAATCTTCCTCTATATGTGGTTCAAGATTTTCCGCGTAGAAAGGAAGGAAGAAGTCGTAGCCCTCTGCAAGAAAAGAAAAAAAGGGCAAAAGGATGACTAAGAAATCTACATGGTCAAATTAACAAGTTTGATCCTAAATCCTTTAAAAAAGAGTCAATGCTCAAAATGGTCCTCACAAAGATTTATGTACAAGTACACAAACACACAACTACCTTTAAATGTTGGTCGCTGCTGTGGATGGTGATTCCAGCAATCCCTCATGAAGTGAATTATTGCTGCAGGCGTGTCTTCTGGAATAGAATCCTCTGCTGGTCGTTCACCTTTACAAACACACTGGCTGATCTGTTCTTCACTCCTGGCATCTGGACATAAAGACCACACTTTGTTTAATGTTTAATGATGTTTAATCAATGTAGTTGGGGGTTATGAATATGGCTGTTGTACTGTTAAAGCAGTAAATCAGAAGATGAACCAGTGAGCAAAAAAATGTGTTTTGTCATTCGGACTTGAGCCTGTTTTGGGGTCCTTACTCACTTGCATATGGCTCTTCCCCGGTGAGAATGACCCAAACCACGATGGCAAAGCTGTAGACATCAGATTTCTCAGTGGATGCAGTGTGTACACTCGCCAGGTGCTCAGGAGCCATGTAGCTCAGAGTGCCGGCACCTCTTGTCCCAGATGATTGGCTGATACGACTCCTCCTGCGAAACTCCTCCCTTGTGAGTTTGCTCCATGTCCGGCAGGTGGCCAGGCCCATGTCCGCTATCTGGAAAACAGAGAATATACAGATTACCATGTAGATTTCACGCTGTAAAAATGATAAAAGTGCCATTGGCCTATGTGGGTAAAAAGATACCTTAATGTGAAAATCCTTGTCCACTAAAATGTTTTCTGGCTTGATGTCCTTGTGTATGACACGTTTCTCTGTCAGGTACACCATCCCTTCCAAAATCTCTAAAATGATTCTACCTTTGACGGATACTGGTACAGAGACCTGGGGGCAGAGCAAGATTCATGAGTTATTTATAGGTGCAAACTTCAGATGTTAAATTGATTTAATTTGTCACTGTGACAAATTTTAAACCTGCTGACCTTTTGAAGCATGACTAGTAGATTGCCCCTGGGGATGAGTTCCATGACTAGTGAGCAGTCTCTATCCTCCATGATCACACCCAACAACTTGACCACCCGCTCGTGGCTCAGACTTGCCATGATGTTCCCTTCCTCAAGCAGTGACCTCTTACTCTCCCTGGAAAGCATAGCAGATAAAGTGATAACCAGATTATCTGCCAGACATAACTTGCATCATGTTGAGTCTCACAGAGGTTTTAAGAAGGCAGGATTTTCAGATATCAGATGTGTCCACATAAAATTATCCTGTGTACAATAATTTAAACAAGCTCAATCAGTTATGCATGTTCCACTGTTATCCTACTGTTCTGATATCAGCATCGGAAATGCCTCAGATACTCCCGAAGTGATGTCTAGTAGTTTAGCGACAGACAGACTGAAAAATGTCAGCAATTTTCGATTTGATGTGGCCCCCACACTTTCCACATTTTCACTGATTCCTCAGAAACTAATTGATGGATCTTTCTTGAATAAAATCAAATAAAAACAACAGCAAAAAACAGAAAAACTGGAGAGCTCACAGTTCAAAATACATTCTAACAGACCCATAGACAAACATACATAAAATACACAAGCACCCAGTACACCAAGTAACAAAAAGAAAGGATTCACAGAACTCCTGAGACCAATCGGAAAATGCCAGTCAACAATAATGTGGGCATAATGGGGAGAGACAAGGTTAGAAAAGAAAGACAAAACAACTGCCAAAACCAAACACACAAAAAAGGACAGTGATCTTTAATTCCCATTATGAGGCTGCAACAATACTATGAATGGAAACTTTTGAGGGGATGGCCTGTGAATTTAAAACAGTCAATTTACCCAAAGAAGTTGCAGGTGTTGTCCACTGCAACTTTGCACGATTGCTTCTTATTTTGTCATCTTTTGTATTTAATATCTTGTTTTTCGCTCTATGTGCAATGACCTTGACATGTGGTGTAACACAAGAACTGCGCAGTTTAGGATCATTAAAGTGTCTGTCTGACCGTCTGACCATCTGTCTATCTATCTATCTATCTGTCTGTCTATCCATCTATCTGTCTGTCTGTCTATCTATCCATCTATCCGTCTATCTATCTATCTGTCTGTCTATCTATCCATCCATCTATCTGTCTGTCTATCTATCCATCCATCCATCGTCTGCCTATCTATTTGTCTGACTGTCTGTCTTTCTATCCATCATCTATCTATCTGTCTGTCTGTCTGTCTATCCGTCTATCTATCTATCTATCCGTCTGTCTGTCTGTCTGTCTGTCTATCTATCCGTCTGTCTATCTATCTATCTATCTATCTGTCTATCCGTCCATCGTCTTTCTGTCTGTCTATTTATCCATCTAATAATCTGAAAGAGGAACATGGGACCTACACCCAGATGAACTGACGTGCTTTGTCTCTGTTTAAGGGAAGTGCTTGGAAATAGAAAGCGTCTTCAGACCTGGAAATGATGGACTCTTTATGAACACTTGATATTTCTAAACCAACATTCGTATATACAATAATAATAATAATGAGGATAATATTGACAATGAAGTGTTTGTCTACATCCTGTCATCTCCTGTAAGTCAGAGTCTGGTGGACACATGATTCCAGTTAGCATTGGGACACAGGGGGGGAATACCCAGCATGCACTGAGGACTCACTCGTTGCGCAGGGAGCCCGTGTACATGGTCTTCAGCACCACCTGGCCCAGGGTCACGTGGTAGCACAGGTACACGTCCCCGAAGCCCCCGTAGTCCAGCGGCTCTCTCCGGATCAGATCCGTCGAGCTCATTTGAAACGAAGGCTGAGGCGCGGTGGCCATCTCTGGTGAGGAGTCACAGTAACACGACAGCGACACACAAACTCACATCAATACACACATCAATACACACATCAATAAACACACTAATACACACACTAATACACACAGTGCGGTGAACACACGAGTCAAATGTTAGAAACCGAGCGAGCGACGCAGCATCACAGTGGAAACACTGGAGAGTTCAGATAAACGCGTCACGGTAAGAAACTTCAGGCGACAACACAAAGTTAAAGTGTCACTAAACCGTCCAGCTGTGACAGTAACAACATACTAAACACCGTAAGTTTTCATTCTTACCACAGATTATTGAACACAGTTGCCAGAGAGGCTGTGGAATCGAACACGAACACTTTAGTTCCAGGAAGTCCTCGTCGTCCTTTCACCGAAGGCTGAAACAGTCCCAACAAGTCGATAACAGAGGGATCAGGACGAGTAGTAGATTTCTGTTGTTGCGGCTGAATAGTTGTAAAAACACATTTGATTGTTGAAATGATTTGATGTCGAGTTGTTTTAATTGTGATCTGAACATTTGACTCAGATTTATTCTGAATGGAACAATCGTGTCTTCTGATTTTGCTGCCTCCCACTGGTGAAGTTAGTTATCACAGATTAAACAAGCTTGCACCACCAAACAGGATCAAAAAGCAGAATAATACAATGGTATGATGGTTAAACTTTGTTTCTGTAGCAATAATCTTTAAAGGTTAGACAGTGTTTTTCAAATTGCATGTATGGAGGCCCTGAAGGGAAATGACAGTCTCAACAAAAAATAGGTAAAGGCAACAACAAAAAGCAAAACACAATGACAAATAGAGAATCACAGTGACAGATCACAAAACACAACAAAAAGCATAAGTGCTGTAGCACATTTTTTATTCACTACATCTGGATTTGTATCTGTATTTGCACATCTGTCATCATTGTGTGATGACATTAAAGGCATTCTATCTGTTTTTCCACATTTCACACACTCATTACTATCCGTACCCTGAACACACCAGATTTTTTTTTCATCAAGACCCCATTCTGTAAAAAATCTACAAAAATGTTGAATGTGAAACATAATTCCTGTGTCCTCCCCTAACAGACAGACTTAACACCAAATGAAAATATACCCTCCTTGGCAGGGGTAATAAAACTCACCCTAACGATTCCACGCTCATGGTTCTGCTGCTTTAACGTTCATCAACTCTGGTTTGGTCAAAATAAACCTTCAATTCAGTGTTGGAAGGATGTGGGTTGTACAGTTATTAAATCACAACTTTTTTAAAATGTTTGTTTGGTGGGTTTGGTGAGAGCTCGCTCTGGTCCTCAATCTTACTTGTCAACAAAAAGGTCTACTCATACAGCTAAACTCATTCCTAAGCCTTATTTCAAAAAAAAAAAGTTCATTGATAAAATATGGTTTATGTGAAACTAGAGTGGGAAACCACCCGAATCGTATTCTCTCACAGTGTGGGCGAAGATCGACATGTAGGCTGACATTTTGAGCAGCCATCTGTGCATTCCTCAGTAAAGCCACAAGAAAGCAGCTTATTAAACTGCAGGGTATTATTTCTCTTGTCTGGACCACATCATGTTGTGTTTCTTTTCTTCTTTTACTATTAGTCACATTTATTGCCAGTAAATTACAGGTAACCCTTTCCTGTCATGACAGATTACTGTGTACTGAGGATAATGCAAACAAATCTATGAGAAACGTACACGTAAACTACTTCCCCTCCACAAATGTAATGCTGTGAAGGATGTTTTTGATAACCTAGATTAAGTGTTCATCTCCATTTTCATAGATGGTGCTTTATTAGTCATATTTTCCTTCAGTTGTAAATTAAATACAACACAGTCATACTTAAAAACAGCTCTTAAATAAGATAAATTAATCACCAAACTAATTTGAGAAGGTCTTGAGTATTCCTAAATGAACCGAATATCAGTATCAGTATTGACTAAAAAAAAACAGCTGATTACATTATTCATCAGTGTAGCAGCCCATGCTATTGGCTGCAGCCGTCAATTCAATTCAATTTGATTTGTATAGCGCCAAATCATAATATACATTATCTCAAGGCACTTTACATTGAAGGTCAAGACCTTAAAATCGTATTAATATAAAGAAACTCAAAAGTTCCCACAATGAGCAAGCACTTTGGTGACTGTGGAGGAAAAACTCCCTCTAGCAGAACCAGGCTCAGTGTGGGGGGTCATCTGCCTCGACCGGTTGGAGTGAGCAAAGAAAAGGGGGAGGAGAGGAGAGATGGGTGGAAAAGAGGGGAGAGAAGAGAGAGTGATAGTGGGGAGGCGGAGGAGGGGGAGAGAGAGAGGAGCGAAAGACTGGGAACACTTGAGCACCATCACCGTCAGCAAAGATGGAGTTAATGGCGTGCTGCGTTAAAACATAAGAGGTACCCTTTCTCCATAGTGACAAAGGAAGTGTCACCAGTGTCCATTTCTCCCCCTGAGCCGTGAGCATCTCAGAGGAGGTTGCCGCCCAGATGCTTCTGTCCGTTGTTGCAGTAAATTGGGGTTTGACAGGTCCCCCAGGCAAGGGTGGTGCAGAGAATTTTTTTTCTCTCCAATGGTGTCAAGTAAATTGATGCTGTGAGGGTGGAGCGGATAGTCATCCACGCTGCAGGGAAAGATTAGACCCTCAGCCAATGGCAAATTTAGCCTCTCCTCCTCATCCCGTCACTGCCACTGGATCAGTTCCTCTGCCTCTGAGATATTATTAATCTTAAAGAGTCACTAAACCCTTAAAGCACTTTTTCAACTGAAAACCAGACCTGGCTCAGACCTGGGGTGAAGTCCCACTTTATTTTGGACAGGGTTGTGACGATTACAAGGCTGGTATAGGACAAACCACTCGACTCTCCACTGCCACCACTGACCCAGTGATAAGGCCACTGTCGGTTGAGCAGCTTCACCTACTCACTCCTACCTGCTGCACAAACAAGTTGTTGGTTTTAATACTTATTTGTGAGAGAAAACAAATAATTTTCTTCTTCAAGATTTCAATATGTTGCATCAATTTCTATTACTTCATGGTCGGCCTTGTATTCTTCATTAACTTTATACTGCACAAACACTGCACATCATTAGGATTTGTGTGATGCACTAGAACAACACAACTTCTATGTGTACAGATGAATGCACTTATTAGTAGCCCACTGTTCACCACCACACAGCACACACGTGGCACACGCTCCGGTGGAATATAATGATGTAAGTGCAAGCCACATGTTTGTGACTCTAATGTCCCAAATGCTCTGCTGAGGAATTTTATTTATACATTTAAAGGTCCAGTGTGTAAGATTTAGGTGAAAGGGAACTATTGGCAGAAATTTAATGTAGAATAATCCTCATGATGTTTTCACTAGTTTGTTTAATCTAAATTGTATGAATTGTAGTTTTCTTTACCCCAGAAAAGACCCTTTATATTTAAATAATTTATATTTACATGGAGGGGACCCTCTCTACAGAGGCCGCCATGTTTTTTACATGAGTCCAGACTGGACAAATAAACACCTTTTGAGTTTTTATGACAAAGGTTACCACAGGTTCTTTTTCATGTTTGGAAGGAGAGGGTGAGGTGAGGGCTGTTTAGCTGCAATTTCAACACTAGATATCACAAAATTCTACACACTGCACCATTAAGTTTCAATTAACTGAGATTACGCTTAGACATAGCTTGTTTTTGGAAACACTGAAACAAATGTTTGTACGTTTTTAATCCTGTGGAGTTGTAAAGTGTGTTGATTTCTTTATATTTCAATATTTTGTTCTTCATTTATTTGTTTAGATGTGGATTTAAGATGAACTAAATCCTTAACATGTGTCTACATGCTGTCTTATACGAGGCTTTCCCACAGGGGCTTGTCTATTTTTGAACTGTTATGTACCCAGTCACAGTTAAGGGTTTAGTATTTGGTGTCACTGGGCCATGGGGCAGTGTATTAATATTCCAGTATCATATCTAACTACAAATCCAAGGTTGGGGGTTTGACCACACCTGTGCCGTAATCCACTGAATCCACGCTATTAAAAGCCGCGCTCTCTCCTTATAGCAGAGAACTACAACTCCCAGCATTCACCACTGGGAGGCTGGATATGCAGCAGTGCTGTGCTCGGCTCGGACGCGGAGCTGCCGCTTTTTGCGGGTCTGAGAAACCGACAAGCTGCCGAACTGAAGCAGGTTAAAAACAACGAGGAGGGTCAGCGTGGGATCTGTCCACACTGGGTCTGTCAGGATGGGTAATGGCATCAACAAGGTATGAGATCCATCTGTTGCATGCGCTGGAATTTACGCACGACTGCTCCAATGTTCCTTCTGCGTAAATATGGAAAGGACAGGCTTGTCACATTCTTAATTAGTTTTTTTATTTTTTTTACAGTTGTCTACTTATTTGTTTGATTCTGTAACTGCAGACTAGTCTTATTCAAAAGAATACATCCTCAACTTGGATTTTCCTACTAAATATTTAACATTAATAATTAGATCATTATTATATTATGTTTTTTACAGTCTCAAAATTTCAAGTTTTTAGTTGAGGCTGTTGTTTCTTGTTGTCACTTATTTTCATGATGTCTTTTCAGTGATGTTTCGACTTGGATCACTGAACTACATCACTGATGTCTGCGTGCTATTCTCTGTCCTTACAGGTGCTGTCTGACTTATACTTGGGAAATTTCAAAGGTTTGTGTTTGTGTATTTCATGCCATTTTGGTTTGGTTCTAAATTTACAGTTGCACATTCTCATGCTCTTTGTTTGTGGTGTTCCAGATGCAAGAGACCGAGAACAGTTAGCCAGGAACAACATCACACATATCCTGTCCATCCATGACAGCGCAGCTCCAATCCTCCAGGTGAGAAACTCTCCGTCTCATCTCCGCTCTCTGCCCTTCAGTTTGTCATTCAATTTTAAGCAGCAAGCAAATTTGGCCAAACATGTTTGATACAATTGGCTGAGACCCTCCTCTGTGTATTAGTCCAGTGCACATGATTTGAGCACAGACACAGTTCCATGAACCGGTCTGTCAGGTTGTTCAGGAAGAAGCAGGCTGATGCTCACTGATATTGCTGCTTCATGAACAAACAGTTTGTCAGTCCCGAGTGAGAAAACAATGAGCAGGGGCGTTCCTTCCTTGTGTGATACTGGGGAGTATCATGAAAAATGCCAGTCAACACCAGTTGGTGTGGACAGTGAGCTGAGTTGTGTGTGGGTTTGAGAGTAGGCGTGTGTTTTTTTCTTTCCTCAGCCAAGGTGGATTGTTCTGTCTCACTTCATTATTATTATTTCTCTGGGTTATTGATTTTGATGTGAAGTTTCACCACAGATACTGTTCTCGGTTTTGTGGTTAAAAATAGGAGAATATGTGGAAGTGTTTCTGCAGGTCACTTTAACATTGCCTGAATCCTTGAGAGCACTGTTATGAAACCAGTTCTTTGTATTGATTTGATTTGTTCAATGCAAGTGGCTGCCACCAGGTAACTAATATGCTTTGTCCCTTAGGAGATGACCTATCTCTGCATTTCAGCAGCTGACCTGCCCACACAAAACCTGTAAGTACCAAAATGTCCAGCACAGCAGCTACAGCCAGAAAACAATGAAGCGCTTAGCCAGAGAGAGAGAGAGTACGGCATCCATACGACGCTGCACTGCGTGGGTGTCTGAGGTTCATTTTCTTCCAGCCAATGTGTAAATGATATGCTTTCACAAGCTCAACATTTTGATGTGAAATTATTCTCTGCATAGACCACAGCAACACCACTGGATTAGGCTCTGTGTTTTTTTTATTGATGTGACCCATTACATGAACACACTGTTCCCCTGTTGTTAAACATGAAAAAGGAGGAATGATGAATAAAGGGTCAATAGCTGGTTGGTTAGACATGTGTGCATAATACACACACACACACACACACACACACACACTCTCACACACATTTACATTAAGCAGGAAGTCTTACAACTTAGTTCTGTAGTTTTATCACTATGGTTTGTGCTGTACCTCTATTAATACACACACAACCCCATTCACACAGTCACTCTCTTATATATTAACACACATCTGTATAATCACACACACACCACACTCACTCACACACACACACACACACACACACACACACACACACACACACACACACAGTCTCGATCACCTCATACATAGGTTCAGAGTTGGTAGTGTTTAAAGTTTGCTATGTGAAATATGACACCTCTCTCAAACTTGAATGGAACAAACCCTTATCCTGATCCATCCAGGATGAGAAATGAAAGAGTCTGACAAGTCAGTTTCAAAAACATACACACACCATCAGGGTTGGGTATCGTTATGTTTTTTTTCCCCAATTGTGGTATTAAATTGAATGTGCACAAAATGATGTTGGACGATAATAAGGGCTTTTTTAAATTGTTTAGTGAAGTTGGAATTTGGAATTTTACACAATAACTTAAACATTTAAAGTATACTCAACCTAAATATACAAATAAAAATAAGGCAAAACTAATTTACATAGAAAATGACCTCACTACAATAATTTAACCCTGATAACAGTTTCAGTTCTGAACAAAAAGTTATCTTACTGTTGCTGCTCGCCAAATGGTTTAACGTGTTCATTAACGACTTTAACTAGTGTTTTTTATGCTCCACAGGAATCAGCACTTTAAGCAAAGTATAATGTTCATGCACGAGTCTCGCCTCAAAGGAGAGGGCTGCCTTGTTCATTGGTGAGAGCAAGATCGCCTGTTGTGTCTTTACCTGGAAGTAAGAATCCTGTTTCAGTCACACAGGCTATTGAAACAAGAGCTGAGACCTCCTCTAGATTTCCTCAATCTATCTTATGGTTTAATCATAGTCATGTTGGATATTTAGGTATGTACAGTGTTCATCTAGAGCTGAAAATGACTGAGATCTACTAAGTATACGCGTGAACCCATGTGGAACTGCTGCACAGAAGAAATTCAATGATAAGCAAAGGGCTATTCTTGAACTTCCCAAAACCAAGTACAGTGACACCTGAGGCTCTTCTCTCAGAAAAACAGAGAACAAACACGCTGCCAGTCAGTCGGCTGTTTTTTTGCATTCACTGTTTAAATAGTCATCATGGATCATGATTATTTATTTGCTTTAAAACTTAAATACATTCTACATCCTGGAACATAATTTGCGCCTGAATGGCATTGAGTAGATTTTTATCAGCAACGGTGCTAAAGAGAAAAAATGTCCATGATCCCACGTTGCTTTACGATGCTATCAATCTAATTTAATGTCATTATTGAGTGACCCCCAGAGGCCAAAGATTCATATTGTTTATTTAATTTGAAAACACTCCACAGTCATATCTAAAATCTTTGGTTAAAAAGCATGTTTCATTTCCTGCAATTCACTTTTCATTCCTCTTGGTGAAGTTTGGCAGGTGTGTCCCGCAGTGTCACCCTGGTGATAGCTTACATCATGACAGTGACAGGCCTGGGCTGGCAGGAGGCGCTGGCTGCCGTGAGGGTGGTCCGACCATGTGCCGGCCCCAACTTGGGTTTTCAGCGCCAGCTCCAGGAGTTTGAAGCTACTCAGGCTGTTGAGGTCAGTGCTGAGATTCGATTGCAGGAAAACAGAGTAGGAGAGAAGGTCTTAGCTGTTTGTCTTTTTCTTTTATTGTAGTTCAGAGAGTGGCTACGGGACGAATATAAGGACAACCCCTTCAATGATGAGGCCGACATACGTGACTTGCTTGCTAGAGTGTCCAAAGTCAATGGCGAAGCGTTGAACCAAAAGGTATCTACCCCACCTGGAGGTATCTGACCAGAGATGTTCATGAGATCTTTAGTAGCTGAGTCTGGAGGGTTACACCACTGTGATGCTCCAGTATTCTGGACTTGTCTGGAACCTGGAAGTCTAACATGCTTTTGGATTGAACTACTGTCAGGATGTTTAATGCTGCTGGAACTATCCTCTTAATGGACATAAACACTGGACCACACCTGGACATTTATGAAACAGCATATATAATTCTTTGTTTAGCATTAGTTGATGTTTTTGTTTAGTTTTTTTCTAATTTATAACTGTTAACTGTGTTGTGTGGACCTCATCATTATGATTGTGAACAGTGAAATAAAATGAGTAAAGGGATGTGTTTTGTGAGTTTCTCAGTCAGTGGGCTCTCATATAAAAGGTGATAAGACACGTTCTGCGCTATGTTTACATCTCTGTTTCCTGGTTCTCTTCCTGTTTGTCGGATGTGCAAGAGAGGTCATGCATGGTGGCAACAAAAACACCGAGACCGTGTTCTTTTCTCACTCCTGTTCAAATGTCTTTAGAAAATATAAAGCAATGCAATTTTATCTCACTGTGCTGAGATATTATATACAATGTTCTTATGAACACTATAGATCACTGGATTTGTGCATAGATAGCCACTGGAGGGCAGTAATACCAACAAAATAATATACAGTATGTTCTAAACTCAATAATGAACAACCTCTTTTGGCTTTAGTTCCTTATCACTCATCAAAGCATTCAAATCTTCCCCCAACATGAGGTAAAATACTTTATTATTTCCAGTCAGCAGTGGAAACTAGGTTGAACTTATAGACTTTTAGAAAAATAAAAAAATATGTGGGAGGATATTTTTTGATGGTGATATTTGCAGGTAATTGTTCCATATGCTCAGGGTGTGATTATAGAGGGATTCCCCACTGCACCAGTACGTGGGCGCTGAGTTTCACAGAAATGAACGACTGACTGCTGCACATCTCCTCTTGAACCTCGCCGGAGAGGCTCCTCCCTGCCTCAAATCAAGATGTGATAACATTTAAAAATACGACACAGAGAACTTCTAAACAGATTTCAGCGGGGGAGCTCACACGATCAAAGGTAAGAGAGAACTTTTCAGCAGGATCATTGATGAAAAGCGTTTATTTGTCAGGAGAAAATACCTGATCCCGATCATTCAGCTTCACATCACATTTGGCAGGTAAAATTTCAACATAAAATTATAAGTATATTTTTTAAATTGTAATATCTATAAATCATACAACTTGTAAGCATGGGTTTAAATTGTATTAAAGTGGAATTAATGTCCTACAAATTGAATTGTATTAAGTTTAAGAAACTTGATTAAATGTCTCAGTTCTATGTGTGCCAGCATTTATTTTAGTTGATCATTCTTATAATTTAGTTCTGGATACTTGGCTTATGTCTTTTTGAATGCATGTATTTCTCTAATTAGTCAAATTTCTTGTTGCCCGCTTTAACCTCAACCCCCTTCCTCTATGTATGCGACCAAAGGTTTTGTAGAAACGTATGTACAATTTATTAAACATGCTAGTATTGTTCCCAGCTAAGTAACTCTGGCTATATATTCATTACTTAATCCGCAATTAATGGTACATGTTTTAAACTGAACCCGGTACCTTTATCTGCTGATTAAATAGATAATTTATCTTTTCTCAGGTTCAGGGATACAAGTGCTATAAATAAATAAAAAAACTTTAACCAACCACTGTACTGTGCAGTTATTTAACTTTACTATTTTATTTTGCAGAGATGAACCTGGATGAGGATAGCGGCCTGTCCGTCAGCTGTGGCAATGGCAAACTGAGACAGTGGCTGATCGACCAGATCGACAGCAGGATATATCCCGGGCTGGTTTGGGAAAACGACGAAAAGACAATTTTTCGGATTCCATGGAAACATGCAGGGAAGCAAGATTATAACAGGGAGGAGGATGCTGCGCTCTTCAAGGTCGGACTATCCCACCTGTCCCACACATTGTGAACACACTCCTACACATTTCTCAAAGATATGTATTTATCTTAAAAAGATGATTTTGATGCATATTGTTCTTTAATTTGCAGATGTGTGATGTTGCTTGAAAAGGCTTTTACCTAAAGTACTATCAGTGTCCATGTTTCAGTCCAATCCTCAAAGCTCTCACTCTTTAAATGTGTAAAGTTGAAATGGATCTATTCAATGGTTGTTTCAGGCATGGGCATTGTTCAAAGGAAAATATAAGGAGGGTGTGGACAAGCCAGATCCCCCCACATGGAAAACTAGGCTTCGCTGTGCGCTCAATAAAAGCAACGACTTCGATGAGTTAATAGGAAGAAGCCAACTGGACATCTCAGAGCCCTACAAAGTCTACAAAATCATCCCAGAGGAAGCCAAAAAAGGTGCATACTTAGATATTTATCATTCAAGATGCAGTTAACACCCATGTGCATATAGTGAACCTATTAAGATGAGTCTTCAAACTAGTACTGCTGCATTTCATCAAGCAACTTACATTGTTTATAGACAAGTGGCACGTTTAGTTTTTTCATGTATGCACCACCGCACTTGTGTCTATTGAGGCAGGAAGCACAAAGGAAGCCGAAGCATGTACCAAAAAGGCCATAGTGCTTTTTTTAGAGGGCTTCGGTTACTAAGAGCAGGGTGTACATAACACTGCTGCAAATCCCCAAGTTATAAAAGCAAAACCTCACACATGCACAGTTTGAACCTGACAAAATGAAGTGGGCTAGTAAGGTGCATGGAATATTGCATCACTTTAGTTTATATTTAATCTCTACAAAAAAACTTTATTATTATCTTAAAGATGTTAGTTCCTTGTTTTTGAAGAAAGATCTTTGAAGGAAAGTGCTGTCTGAATAGCATAGCATGGCCAATATTGTTGTAAATGTAATTTTTGGTTTCCTACATGTGCAGGAATGAAGATGAGCAGTATGGAGGAGACACCTTCACATGTGAATACCCTTGGCTATATTCCTCAGTATGGCTCTCTGCATAACCAGGTCAGCAGTGTTCTCTTAAATAGAGAAACTACATGTTTTAGTTTGATGAAACTTTGATTCTCTTGAGTGACCATTTCTCTGCTGTTCAGGTACCTGGCTACATGGTTTCTCAGGAGCGGAGGGACTGGAGGGATTACTCGCCCGCTGAACAACAGGCCCTTGCTCCTCCACATCACCACGGACCACATGCAGAACTGCAGTACAGCCACTACCCATCCCCCATCAGCCGCGCTTGGCCTGGGTCACACGCAGAAAATGGTAAGATGGCTCACCACTTGCATCAGAGCATATTCACACTCAAAAATGACGATATGATCTGGCTATAAAATAAGCTTTTGTCTGTTTTTATAAATATTCACTCAGTCGTTGTGTAATGGTTGAAACCCTTCTATATGAGCTGAGGCTGTGACAGGCATCATTGGTCTTATATGTCACTTGGTCATTTAAAAGGTCATAACTTATCGCAGTGCTTCACATGCAGTTTACTGGAGAATCCGAGTTCGATCTGAAAAAATCCCCACTGATGAGGTCTCTTTTATCACTAACCTTTTACGCATAAACTAGAACTAGTATATAGTTGAACAATATGAATCTGCAGCTGCACATAACTCCTTCTTTTTAGATTAAAAATATATTCACTTGAACTTCACGTCACACATATAAGCGATCAGTGATTATTTAAACAAGAAATCACTTTATCCTGTGCACTTTAGCCTTGTACTGTGTAAGATGTAGTGTACTTATTTTTTTCATGACTATGTTTACCTGGGCAGATGCTGTGTGAGGGCCAAGAATCTAAAATAACTTCTTATTGAATGGGCAAATAAATTGATATGCTAATGTGCCATATACATGTGCAGAGAAATTTAAAAAAAGGAAACAACTGAGACACAGGCAGTGGTTGCTCCAGCAGTTACTGGTGCTCAGTGATGTGTGCAAGTGGAGCCAAATCATTTCATGTTAGCGGTTTGTGTTGCATACAGCTGCGACATGTTTGAGACTTGTGGTTGCTGTGCCCCTCAAATCTACAGCAGGGCTCCTATAGATTTAGCCCGATGCATCTTCATTGCTTTTATTAGGCTACAGTGAAGCCAAAGAAAACTTCCTTAATCCTGCACTCAAGTGGCCTAACGCACTTTCATGTGTCAATACTTTCACATTCAGTGCTCCAATTATGATCTGTATTTATTTAATTTATTCTGCACAGGTTTTCAGCTCTCCTTCCACACCCACTTTGCAGAGTCACAACCACCCGTGTATACAATGGACCACAACAACACAATAACAGGTATCATGTCATCTCAGGCCCACTAATACACACATGAATAGATGTTTACTCTTTTTCTTGTTTTTAAATTCATGCTTGGAGGCATTTGCATTTACAGATAAGAAAAATGTGTTTGAGAAAACTAAAAACAGAAAACGTGTAAACTTGCTAAGATAAGTAACATAGAAATAAAGTTTTATTATGATCAACTAATAAAAAAAATATGCTTGTAATGATGATAGAGAAGTGTGTGATTTTCTAAAGCAAGATATCTGAGCTGTATGTTTTATCTGAGCTCGTCATGTCGGGTTCTGTGTCAGACCAAGAAGTGAAGTTCTAATTATGATGCTGATGATGTTTCCCTTCAAAGTCACGTCCACTAAAAGCTCATCTCTTTCTTCCAGATTTCAGACTGCATGTGTCCCTGTACTACAGAGAGTCTCTGGTGAAGGAAGTTACCACCACCAGCATGGACGGTTGCCGGATCACCTCTGCTTCCTCCTCCTCCTCCTCCTCCTCTTCATCCTCTTCCTCCCCCACTTCTCCATGCCCAGAGGACAAGATTCACAGTGGGGCAGAAATCATCCTTTTCCCATTCCCATACCCCGAGTCCCAGAGGCAGGGTGCTGAGATGCTTCCTAATGTACTGGAGAGGGGGGTGCTGCTTTGGATGATGCCCGATGGGTTGTACGCAAAGCGCCTGTGTCAGGGACGAGTGTATTGGGAGGGACCCCTTGCTCCGTATCTGGATAAACCCAATAAGCTGGAGAAGGAGCAGCCATGCAAACTGTTTGACACCCAGCAATTCCTTATTGGTAAGTAGAAATATGCATCTTGTAGTGATCTGTTCACACCAGCATGTTTGGACAGATGGAGAGTAGCAATAAAAATACTTTAGTGAGGTTACTTACTGTGATTGAGGAGGTATTGAAATATGTTGCTCGAGTCAAATAATTTTTTCTTCCTACCGCCATAAATGACAAATTTGCTTTGCAGCTCTAGAGTCTTAG